AGCACTTAAACAGCAGGAAATACTGAACCCAAAGTCCAACGCAGCACCAAAGCGGTTTGTTATCTTAGTGAAGGGGTAAATAAATGAAATGTAAATAATTCATGTTTGTAAAATAACATTATTTCAAGTTCTCTATCACCTTTGCTACTTATCTACTCAATGCCACACAGCTCCATTGTTGTGTTTTATGTATCTGGTTTAATTAGAGAAAATAAACCCTGAGAGGAGAAATATAACTAATCCAGATCCTTCCATACAGGTTTACTGAATGATACAATTAAGCAATTCACCTTCTCTGTATAAAAATGCTAAGCAGACCCAGTTGAGAAAAGGAAAAGCTCTGAAAGACTTTGATAGAGGGCTCATTATTGGGACATGGATGACAGGAGCTTTAGTCACAAAGACTGGGAATAGTATTGCAATGCCAACAGCACTATGAAAAAGTAAGTTTAGTTTCGGAAAAATCAGTAAATAAGTTTGTAAACTTTGGTTGAAAGCACACAATTACAGACCCTGATGCTTGTGCATTAGTGTGGAATGATAAACTCTTCCTTTTGTGACTAAGAATGGAGGACGGGATCAGTTTGTGTCGGCGACAACATTCTGCTGACACCTACACAGAGACGAACATTATAGTCAGGTTACAGTGCATGAATCCTCCATTACACAGCAAGTCTTCACAATTAATTGACAAAAGATGTCATTAGGTTTAGGGAAAGGTCATGGTTTAGGTTAAATGACAACTTTGTCAAGGTTTGGGGACCTTCGTCGTCATGGTTACAATAATAATCACATGGTTAAAGTTAGAGGATGATTGAGGTAATGCTGTAAAAAACAAATGTTCATTGTCAGTAGAAAACCGGGTCTCTGGTGTTGAAGTCCACTGTTTTGTTGACCCAACAATCCACCCCAACGTCCTGCCTACACTGACTTTACCGCTGTATAAGAATGTCAAATGATGTTGTAGTTTGTTTCTGTCACATTTACTATGGCTGGTATTTTCTTTGAATTGTCACCGAATCTGCTGATACACTCTATGTTTATAGTATTTTACTTAGGCCTACTTAAGAATAAAGCCCCATTAAGCTTTGTGATAATTAGCTAAATTAGGTATTGCCTTTCTCGTATGTCTGTCGATAATAAAAGCTATCGTCAAATCTTATTATGTAGGCATTTATTTTCTTTTACATTTATTGAGCTTGTTGTACGTTCTTGTCTGCTATCTTTTGTCTATTTTATTCTTTCTTCAGAGATGGCAAGAAAAGGAGAGTGAAAGGAGTGATGACAAACACAGGGGACGCTTTGTTCCCTCTAACGTCCCAACATCCAAGTACGAGGGCTCCCCGTCCAAACACATCCAGATGTTACCTCTGTTAAAAAATAACAGCTTTGGGTCTAGCTGCTCACATTAGTAAACACTGCAACAGGGAAATAAACTCTCTATAAAATGTTCTATACTTTGACAAAACTGAAGTATTGTTGTGTTGCTAGCACATTGTTATTGCTCCCGAATCCATTTCAAATCAAACTGAGAAATCTGTTTTGCTCCTTAAAACAGATAATAGACTTTTGGTATAATCTTTTTATCCAAGCTCGACCTTTGAGCAACTCTCAAATCATCATTTTTACTTCAGAATCAAGCGTGCTTTCTGAGCTGTTCGTCTCAAATCCTGCGAGACCAAATTGCTGCAGCTTACTTTTACGGCCTTACATTTACAGTATGGCAGTGTTAGAGTTACTCCACGGATCTCATTGATAACTTCTTTGGGTTGTACGGGCCTAACCTCTTGCTACAACTCTCACCTTTTAATCCGATGTGAGCCTGAACACAGCCTGAGATATCCAAGCGGGGCTTTTTTGGCAGTCTCGGTTAAAAAGAATGAGTGACAGGGGTTTTGCTGTTAGGAGCCCTATGGCTTTGTAAAGCTTAGACTATAAGTCAATGTCATCCTTCTAACTCAACTCCCAAAACCCTATCTATGGGCTACAAATAAAGCCATCCTACAAATTTACTTGCATGTTTTATTTTGCCTGATTAAAAAAGATATGTAGACAGTCTGTTTTAAAAGAGGGGAAAAGAGAGAGAGGGGGAGGACTCATGGGAGGGGGCACAAGTAGAGGCAGACACAGAGGAAATAAGCAAACAAGTGCATGGGCAGACAGAGAGGCAGAAAAAGATGGATGGGTGAATGGAAGATTGT